TCTTGCTGCAAGTCTACATACTCCCTCTTGCATCTTTCATGCCTATAAAATCAGTATCACATAGATGTTGCTACCATGTTCTGCTGTCAGTTCCAGGTGTAGTCTGGTTCTCTTGGGCCATAGTTGCAGCCACTGCTGTTTGCTGTCGACCCTTGGGTAACTCTTTTAGTGAATGCTTTTGAATAAGGAATTAAGCATTCTTAGTTTAGGCTCATCCATTCCAAATTACTAAGTGTTTTACAAGCTGGAGGCTTCATGGAGTGGAATCTTGCTTAGGGCACCTTTTCTATTGTCCCATTGCAGAACATGATGTTTAATCTTTTATAGTGCTAATATGCAGCTTTTTTTTTTTTTTTTTTTTTTTTGCCACACTGTCTTTGTCCACAACCTCAAACTCCTTTCCTTGCTTGATTCAGAGTTTCCCTATCTTTCTTTCCCATCTTACTGTAGATCTGGGTAAGACAGTGATAGGTCATCACGTCATAGCCTGAATACTCTGCTGCTTTGGAATTTCCATCACTTCACAAGAATGTCCATCACTTTGGAATTCAGCAGCACTCCTACTTCTTAACACATGACTCTACAGATGGTGATGAAATTCTGCTGTCCCTCCAGAGTGTTCCCGAAGACTATGGCATGGACAGACAGGAGCAGCACATACCTGGACATCTTAGAGGCTTGGTCAGAGTTAAAGATCAGGACACAGGTAGAATGAAGCCAGAATCTTTCCCAAAATGACTTCTAGCCCAATTGTTCCTGAAACCCCAGGAGCTGGACCTACTGTTTGTCTTTCCCTTGGCATTCTGGTTTCCCAAACTCCCAGTAGATTGGCCTATTATGCTCTTCTCACAGTGGTCTAGAATTTACTTACCCTGAACCTGCAAACTGTTCCACATTCCTCCAGCCTATTAACTATGTGGTCATGTTTATCATAACAAAGATGCCACTTCCTGGCACCTGTTTTCTGTATTAGCTACTTAAAAAAAAAGATTCTCTCTTTTCCTCTCTCTCCCTGTCTCTCTCTGTATCTGTCTGTGTGTGTGTGTACAGAAGGGGAGCCAGATTTCCTGACGTCGAAGTTACAGGCATCTGCCAGCCACCTGATGCAGATACTAGGATCAAATTCTGGTCCTCTGGAAGAGTTGCAAGTGCTCTTAATTGCTAAGCCATCTCTCTAGCTCCTGTGTCAGTTACCTTTAATGTTCACTGCTATGACAAAATATCTAACAAAGGCGATTTAAAGAAGGAAGGGTTTCTTTTGGCTCACAACTTGAGGGTACAATCCAGCTTGGCAACAGGAGTCTGAGGCAACAGGTCATATTGTAATAATATTCAGGAAAGAGAGATGTTTGCCCATAGCTCACTTCCTCCTCAAAGTAATTGGGGCCTCAGGCATAGAAGAATGCTTTACATATTCAGGATGGGTGATTTCATCTCACTTAACCCCATCTAGATACTCATTCACAGATGTCCCCAGAGGTTTTTTCCCCAGATGATTCTAGATCCTGTCAAGTTGATAATGTTAGCCATTGTAATTATGGACCATATTGGCCTCCAGCTCACAAAGATCTGGCTTCCTCTGCCTCCTGAATACTGGAATCTTGAGTTAAGTTTTACCTTGAATTTTTCTCTAATTATTGAAAAATGTCTTCTTTCGCTAAAAAAGGACATCTGATTTAAAATATACTTTTAATTGAAAGTGATCATAGATTAATCTCATCTACGTAGGCTAAAACATATTAGTTTTATATAGTTGGAAATGTATCTAATACTGCTTCATCAAATATTAATGAAAGTTTATATTCTGAAAGGACCAAATTTCTGGTTTAATTTTTTTAGCATTAGCAAGAATTTAAATATTGATGTCTTAAAAGTGAGCAGCCTTGGGAGCAAAAATTCTCCAGATACCAGAAAGAGAAGAAATAAAAAGCCACAGCTGGCTAGGGATATTAGAACAACATGAAGCAGAAATAACTGGAGCTCCTAGTTTTTATCACCTGCCTCTACAGATGGTGATGAAATTCTTATGTCCTTCCTGAGCGTTCCAACTTATACTGGCATGGACAGACGGCAGCAGCTTGTACTTGGACATCTTAGAGGTTTGATCAGAGTTAACATTTCAACACGATGGAGGGTAGGATTCTCATGCATCAACTTGGGGGGGGGGAGGAACACAAATGCATTGTATCTGTGTTCTGCCAAAAACCTCCCAGGTAGCATCTCATTTACTCCTCTTAAAAAGATTCTCTCTCTCTCTCTCTCTCTCTCTCTCTCTCTCTCTCTCTCTCTCTCTCTGTTTCTGTGCATGCATACATGTGCTTGTGTGTTGCCCTGGGAAGGAATCATCCTCTGGAGCTCTGGAGTTAGAGATTGTTTCAAGGCACCTGACATGGGTGCAGGGGCCTGGACTTGGACTCTCTGTAAGAATAGCAAATGCTTTTGACTGCTAAGCTATATCTCCAGCCTTCATTGAATCATTTTACCTGTCTGTGGCCACAGGCGCTCTTTTATTCCATTTTCTAGAATAGAGAAGAAGGGTCATTTTCCACCTTCCATGGCAGCATTGAAGTAGAATCTTGGAGGCTGAGCCAGCTGTATTCAGTACCTTATTGTCTTTGTTTGAGTTGTTGATTGGGGAGTCTTGAGGAAAGTGACTGACTAAAGATTATCACCACAAGGACTGATATATATTATTGTTTTTATTCTTTAATATGGTCTCTTTAATATTACCACTAAAGCTAGAGTTTCTTTTATGCTGAAGATCTGCATTTACTGGTGAATTTGAGACAGCTACCAGGCATTTGCTTCCTGGAACAATTCTACTGGATAGGACTCCACCTTGGTCTATGTCCAAATAACAAGCAGGTGCAGAGGAAAGGGACTGGCAGCATGCAGATCATAGCTACATTTTAATTTTTAAGAACAGTGTGATATTGTTACTTTAGCAAATACTATTCTTTGAAATGTTTGCTGACAGCTCACTCAAAGGTAAGTGTGGTTTTCACCCACCAGTTAAGTGTCTACATTTGATGTCCTTACCTATGTAGAGTGTTCCAAACTCAGAAGTTGTGAAAACACAACCAGGGAAAGGTATTAAACAAAACAAGACATCCCAAATCAAATCAAATCAAATCAAATCAAAGCCAAACCAAACAAACTAAAAGCCTAAAGCTGGAGGGTGTGGCTCAGTGACTGACTGCTTGCCTAAATCCAGCTTCTGTTCTGTCCACTTGGCATGGTAATCAGGCAGATGATAATTGTCACCAAGTAAGAGAAATTACAGCTTGCTATTTAGCCCCTTAACCCAGGTGAGACACGCAGACTGAGGAGGCTTAGGAAGTGAAACTGGGAACTGTTATCCCTTTGCAGCTCTTGGCTATTCCCACATGCAAGGAGTTGGATGAAAATAGTGACTTCATACCCCTTCAGGAAGATGACTTAGGTTTGTTTGTGACCATGTTCCATTTACAAGAAATGGCCTGTTTCTTGAGGCTCAAACATTAGTTCTATGATGCAAGCTGGATGAAGTTTACACAGATCGGAGGTTTTTAAGCTTTGTCTTCCTCCAGTTCTATTTGAAAAGAGAGTTTTGCTTTGTAAAACTGGAGTGCTCAAAGTCGGGCAGCAAGGCTTCCCACAGGCTTATCATTTACACAGTGCGTACAATGTTAGCATTGTAGGTAAGTTTCCATCTTCCAAAAATAGTATCATGTTTTCCCACAAGTGAGAATACTATTAACTTGCATATTGATGAACAGATTCATTTTGCAGTGAACCAGCTTCAGGGCATTCAAGATCTTTTGATAAAATTATACTTTAAAGTTTTAGAAATTTGAACAAAAATATCGATTGCAAGCTATCTTCCTAAATATTTAACTTGGCCAACAGCCTCTCTCACTGGCCTTATAAGGCTGCAGGGCAGGTTGTTTCTGGGACAAGAAAGTCTCACTGACCTACTTTCATTTTCAGCAATTGTCACATTCCTGGCTCAATGATGGTTAAGTAGAACAACAGTTAACACATTGGGAGTCCCCAGTCCTCTGCCTGGCACTCTCCTGGTCTTCCCAAAGTCTCACAGTGCAGGTGCAATCGTTAAACCCTTCTACAAAATGGGGAAACTGAGGCACACAGAAGTTCAGAAGTGTTCTCAAAAGCTTGCATAATGAGGTTCCTAGAATCAGTCTCTGGAGACCCTAGTTTCAAGTTTGACACCATGAGCTCTGCAGGTTTTTTTTTTTTTTTTTTTTGGCTTAAAGCAACTGAAATGTGCCGAATAACTACTTATGTGAACTCCTGAGGGAAACACTATAACCAATAAAACAGTAGGAGCTGGATGTGATAGTTCATCACTGTATTAACAGAAACAGAGAGGCAGAAGACTCTAGTAGGCCCAAGCAAGGCAAACATGGCTCTGGAAGGCCTTGCCCTTCTCCTCCATTCCCTCTGCCTTGATAAACTGTTAGACTGCATTCCTAAAGCTAGCCACCAAAGTCTATTCCCTTATTTGGTCACTTCCTTCTCCTGCAGCTGACCACCAAGGTCCAGCTATCAAAGTATAAAAGTCCAGCTATCAAAAGCCCCCCTTTGGCTCAACTAATTAGCCTGTCCAACCAAAGCAAGCCAACTCATCCCAATATAGGGCTCCCCCTTCTCCCTTTATAAACTGCCATTTGCCGATGGGCTGCACCTGTCTCCTCCCTATCTAGAAGCAGCCCTTTGTCCTCTAGGGGACATATCCCCTCTCTCTTTCCCTTGCTCCATTTCCCTTCTCCCTCACCCTCTATGTCCTTTGTCTTTTATTCCCTGCCCTCTGCCCCTCTGGGACAGACCCATCTCCTTTGTGCTGAGAACTTGGTCTAGGGGTGTCTTGTGCCGACCAGTTCTTTCACAAAGCATATCATCAAAGCAAATCAATGGTCAGCAGGGCTCTGCATTGAATTCTCTGTCTGGTGGCGGTGGCCAGGCCTGCCTGGCTGGCTGTGACTCTGCTCCTCACTCACCACAGTTGTGCTCATCAGCTTGGTTCCCACAGTCGTCCACACCATTGCAATGAAGCAGTTGAGGCAAGCACTTGGTGATGTTCCCACAGGGGAAGGAACCAAGGGGACAGCTTACATTCTGTGCGCTCCCAGGAGTGACTGTGGGGGGGGGGAGAGAAAGAGCAAGAGTGAGAGAGAGGACATTTGGAGAAGGTTAACAGAAACCTAGCACCAAATGTAGTCCCCCCCCCATAGTTCCCACACATTTGGAACTTGGTCTGGTTAGTGGAGAAATCTGGCATTACCATCCACCAATGGCTGTGGCTGCTCTCCAGAACCTCTACCTCACTAGGATGCTCTGACTAGCTTCTTTTCCTAGGATTTTCTTGCCAGCCTCTCTTTCCTTGTCCACTCCCCTGCCCTGCCCCTCTGTGAGTGCCAAAGTGGTGGGGATTGAACCTATGACCTATTGCATGCTGGGCAAGCATTCCACCACTAAACCATGTGTTCAGCTTTCAACTCTAAGAATGTTTCTTCAGTTCCCTCTTAATGAAAGTATATTTATACTTTAACTTCAATTCGACTCCTGCCTTCTATAGAAAGCTTTCTGATTTTATTTATTTATTTATTTATTTTAATCAAGAATTTAGTGTATCTTTACTGTGGACCTGGAATCAAGGCTTCTCTGGTTTGAGGGCATCAAGAAGCACGTGGCCCATGTTCCTTTTCATAGTGGATGTTCCTAAGTGTGAGATCCTGGCAAGACTGCTAAAAGCCAGCTGCTGTCCTGGCATGGACTGCAGTCTGTTGGAAGAATACAACTGAACAAGTCAATAAATAGTTCCAAACCGAGAGGTGCACAATGAAATGAAAGTGTGCTGTCATGGACACTAACTACTCCGATCTTCACAGCAGGCCTCTGAAAAACTGGTCTGAGTAAGATGAGAGCAGAATGAAGAGGGGAATCAGGCGGAGCAGGAGGTGGTAGCAGGAGTGTGTGGAGGGGAGTGGGTTTAGGCTGAGAGCCAGGTAACTTATGGAGGCTGTGCTGGAGCACAGTGAGCAGGCATGTGAGCCTTGAGCAGGGACTGAGGAGGCAAAGAGAAGACTTGAAGACTGACCTTTATTAAAAATGTGAGAGTGACAGAAGATGGACCTGGTGCGGCAGCCAGAGAGGATGTGTGCCTTCCTAACATTCTTCTGGCTGCTGGGGCTGGGTCACAGATCTCAGGGTGAGAGTGGGTGCTAGGCTGCTGCTGAGATTATAGCTATCCAACTGAAAGATGATGGAGTTTAGCCTAGGGCGGAGTCAGCGGAGGAGAGAAAATAGACACAACACACACACACACACACACACACAAACACACAAACACAAACACAGACACCCATGCACACACACACATGTACATGGGCACACATGCACACACGCACACACACACATACATACACACACTACAGGAAGGAGTGACAATGGAAGCATCTCAAATAGCTGGGGTAGGGCTGGGCCTTTACTCAGTGTCCCGGGGTGTAACAAGGATGAGAGGGGACACGTGGCACATTCCCCTTTTGTCCCAGAACCTCACCATGCAGCTTTCCTACTCAGCTCAGCATTAGATTTTTCACCACCACACCACCTTTTAGAGACCCACGAAACCCATCCTCCATGTCCAGCCCTGCTTCCCTGTCTTGTCCTTCTCTACTTCGCAGGACCCCTGCGGCACCATTCTATCTCTTCACACTTATCCTTGGAGAGCTGGAAGCCAGCCTTGCTGGAATTCGTGCCTTGGTTTATCACTGTCATGCTTCTAGGTGAGATTCTATTTTCACTAGGTAATATTTATTTATTGATTGATAGAAAATTAGTTATTATTTGCAATCATGTTTTCATGATAGAATATGTTCTGAGTATCCCAAACCAATCTAAAATTTAATGACTTATACCTTGTGAGCACATAATAGGGCAAAGAGGACTATGGGAACTTTGAAACTTCAATGACATTGTCATTGCCAGACCCCAACTTAACAAAAGGCAATTAACAAAAGGCCACTACATCTTTGTTCTCAAATTATCTTATTTACTTTTTTATCATGTGACGACACAAGAAAGGGACCTATTGTAACAAAGTTCATGATCTCATTTGCCCCTTGAGGGGTTTGGAAAGGGACATGGTGAAAAGGAAAATTAAAGATGCAAACACAATAAATAATAATTGTCTCACAGATACTTGGAAGAAAGTGTATGGTGTACTTAGAAGAAATTCTTTTGTCTTGAAGCTGTTGAAAGAATGGAAAGGTTCAGAAACTCTGAAGAGTAAACACAGGATAAAGTAGAGGTTATTCTTTAGAGCTGTTTTTAATGTACAACACAATAGAATGGAGGTTACCTTTCCCAAATACTTCTATACCTACACAAGCAGAATTTCTTTCACCACACTATCAGGCCTCCACTAGAGCAGTGTACTTGTTAGACAAGATGAACCAATATATCATCATTGCCTGTTGTTGACAGCATAGTTCATACTTGGTCTTGACAAATGGGATTTTGTCAAGTGTGTTTACCATGATTGTCATATTGGGACCTGGAGAGATGGCTCTGTGGCTAAGGGCACATTGCTCTTACAGAGTACCTGAGTTTAGTTCTAAGAACACAAGTAAGGTGGCTCACAACTTACTGTAACTCCAGCTCCATGGAGATCCAATAGCTCTGGATTCTGTGTGCACTGCTGTGCATTCTCCCCTAAAGAAATACACACATGGACAAGGAGGTTTCAGGAAGTAGGAGGGAGGAGATTCAAGATGTAGGATGGGGAGAGCAGAATTCTGGCCCCTCTCTCTGGTAAGATAAGACCATGTGGAAATACTTAGATTAATAGAAAATGGGTTAATATTTAAGACAGAGCTAACCAATAAGAAATTCTAGTAACAGGCCAACAGCATTATATCTAACACAGTGTCCCAGTGTGTTATTTGGACTCCTGGGACCAGGACGGCACGAAAACCGCTCATAACAAAATGGTGTCTTCAACGTGGCTATTAAGAACTTCCACTTAAAACTTAACACAAGCTTAAGAAAGGGTTTTAAAAACAAAAGAACAGAGACAAGCAAGGCTTCTTAGTACCAGCATTTTTCTCAGTTGCATTCTGTTTTGCTAGAGACAAGCAGAGATTTGCCCGGCTTCTTTAAGGGAGGTTTCCTGACTCAGCATAGTGGCAAAAAACCAGAAGATTTTTAAAAGAGCTCTGCTAACAACTTAATGGTGTGTATGAGAACTGGCAATGGCAGTGACCACATCTCCAGGCAGGCAACATGTGGATGGTAGCGTAGACCAAGTCAGTGAGCACAGCTCTCAGTGCTGGCGGTAAGAGTACCTGCCTCCATCTTTGATAGACTGAGGCTAATACAGCTATGGCTTTCATTTTAGCAATGTTGTTGTTTACAAGATAAAAGACTAGTGGCCACAAAAAGATAAAGATTTACAGTAAATACAGATTCAGATTAAGAAAAACCGCTAATGGTTTACAGTGTGTTTTAAAATATACATAGGTTTGGGAGAGAAAAAGAAATAGGATAAAATGGTTTAAAAAAGAATAATAAAAAGAAAGAGAGTAGCTGGGTGTGGTGGTACACGCCTTTATTCCAGCACTCGGGAGGCAGAGGCAAGCAGATCGCTGTGATTTCAAAGTAAACTTGGTGTATGGAGTGAATTCCAGGGCAGCCAAAGTTATACAGAGAAACCCTGTCTCAATAAATAAGAAATAAAAATAGAAGAAATAGATTAATAAAAAAGCCACAGAAAGATGGAAAGCACACAAAGAGTCTGGATATGCTATTGTGTTGTCTTTAAATTGTTTGACTGCTGTGGAAATAGCAACGACTGTTAAAACAAATGCTGCTGGATTAATCCAATTTATATATTTTAAAAATGCTTTGACTTCAAAATTTAAGTTCAAGATAGGTTACTGGTGAAAAGGATTTCTATTTTTGTTTCCACAGAAAATAAAAACCTGTGGATTTCTTCTACACTAACATGATTTGATCAAGCCAGACTCCCTGAAACAGTGTCCCAGGTGATCCAATATTCAAAACAGGTAAGACAAAGCAGCCCTGCAGACCACTACAGCCAGGATTTCTGTGTCTTTTTAGGAGCCCCAAGACAGCACCCCCTACCAAGAGGAAGCAGTTGGGAAAGAATAACACCCAAATTCCCAAATATTGTCTATAAATGTTTGTTTTCATTTAAATGGGGTTGGTTATAAATGGTTAATGACCACAACCAATCTCTTTAAAGGTAAAAAGGGGATTATGGTATAGTTATAAATACTTTGTTTTGGAATTGATTTTCAATTAGTGATACAAACTTAAGGTCAATTTTGTGATATGTATATTTCTCCTCTTGTTTAGGTATTGTGTTTATATAGCTCATTAAAAATATAATGTGTAATTTAATACAGGTTATAGATAGTTACCTATAATAGTAAAATCTTATAGTTAGGTTTTCTAGATATATAGAGGTGTATTTGTGATAGATAGGCATTCTTCAAACCTTTCAAAGACCTACAGAATATGGCATTTAAAATGGTTTAGGGTTTTTCTTGACAGTGAGACATAACTGCTTCTGGCAATAAATACCACCTGCATCAGAAAGGAAGATGGACATCGAAGAAATGCGTTATGAAGTTTGCTTTCAATATGGAAAGACTAGCCACTTGGGCAAGATACTGCTCTTGTCTGTACTGTTCAACTTTATGCTGTATAAACTGGACATGCAGGACCCACAGGAAAGTGACTGCTGATACAAGATGGACATTGATACAGGGTTCCTGCTTCATGGAAGAGTCTTCCAGATAGTCTAAAGGACACAGAAAAAAGTGACTGACAAACTGCCAATACAGATGGACAGTTTAAAGTTTCCTGCTTTGCTGAAAAGTCTGCCAGATGCATTATGGCCTATAGGCTAAAGATGAAACATTACAAAAGAACTTCGGGTGACTGACCAGGCGAGTTATCTCTGTCAGTAGTAAAGTTTATATATTATCCTTCTGTGGTCTTTGAAGGAGTCGAAGACAGATAGTTCTGGTTATAATTTTTTGTTAGGATAAAGATAAGTTACATATAAAACTTTAGACTCACAAAGATAGGATAGATGATAGAATATTTT